GTCCTGGTTCATTCTGACTGTGACATTAAGCTACCATAGACTGAGTGACTTATCAGCAACAGAAATTTCTCTCTCAGAGTTCTGAAGGCTGGGAAGTCCAAGATCAAAGCACCAGCAGATCTGGTATCTGGTCATGGCCTCTAAAAGTTCTAGGCTCTCCCCTTTTAGTAGAAAGGGGTTGCAGCAGCTCCGGCCCTTACATCATCTCAGATTCAAGTTCTACGCACAGAAACAAGTTTGTTTAAAAATGGGCAATAGAGGGATCCCTGGGTGGCGCAGCAGTTTGGCGCCTGCCTTTGGCCCAGGGCGCGATCCTGGAGACCCGGGATCGAATCCCACGTCGGGCTCCCGGTGCATGGAGCCTGCTTCTCCCTCTGCCTATGTCTCTGCCTCTCTCTCTCTCTGTGTGACTATCATTAAAAAAAAAAAAGGACAATAGTACCCTATACAATGGGAAATATTTTTCTTTAATAATCACTTAAGTTTAATTTGAAAAGAAAAAAAGGGGAAACAGAGGAAAAAGAAATCCAGTGAGTATATAGAAATATAAGTATACATATAAACATAAAATAAAATACAGATAAGGAAGAAAATATGTGTAATTGTTACAGGTCTTATTTCTGTAGTTGGTGTGATTGTACACTGGGGCGTGTAGATATTAATTTGGAAGGCATAAAACATTAGTCGTGTACTGCAAACTTACACTGAAATAAATGCCAAGTGGATAAAAATTTAAGTGTAAATTATAAAACCATATGAGTAGTAGAAGAGGCATAGCTGTTTGTATACCTTGGGGAGTAGGAGGGATTACTGAGCATGACACTGAGGTAGGCGGCCTTTGACCTGTCTGCCTGGCACCTGTCTCCTCTGAGGAACCTCCTCGGCCCCCCCACTACCCCCTCCTTCCTCTCCACCTCCCACACAAACCTGTGGTCTGAATAGGAGGCCTCCTCTCCTTCTCTCGAGCCATGTTCCTGGCCAAGGGGCTGGTCTAGAGATGAGCTCCTCACCCAAGCTGAGTGAATCGCTTCCCTGGCCGCCCATCTGGGGGTCACCCTGAGATTCTTTGAAACCCTCTCTGTTCATGAAACTGAGGTGATGTATGCTCTAGCATCGCCTTTGGAGGCATAATAAAAAAGAAAGTAAAAACAATCTCCTGGTAAGTCTGTCTCATACGGATGACACCTTGGTCATGGCTTGGCTGTTTTCTGCTTTGTAGATCTTCAGCTCCAAAAGGTAATCTTTCTAATCACTTAGGGAACGAGAGTTTGGGGTAGAGGTTCCAGTATTAATTATGCATTTAACACAGAAAGACTCTGAAAGAAACTTTCAGAACTTCATCGTGATTTCTGGGGAGGCATCGTGGCTCAATGGTTAAAGAGTATGGACCTGGGGTCCCAAAGACCAGTTCTGGACTCAGGCTCTGGTCAGCTGAGGAAATTAAGCCTCCTTGACTCTTAGTTTTTACTTTTGTAAATACCTCACAGAAGAGAGAATGAGCCATGCATCAAAAGTGCTAGACAGTGTCTGGCACTTAATGACTCAAAAATCAGTGTATTAGGATTGTCATCATCCTATATTTCATCTCAGATTATTGTCAGCTGAATTATTTAAACGGAACCTTGTTTTTCCAAATTTGTCCACCTAGATAGAAAATATTCAACATTGTTAACTCTACGGCTTAAATAAAACTAAAATATCCTCCTTTTCCGTGGTGAGTGGTTTTCTGATTTCTATTCTAATATTTTGGCCAATACTCAATAAAAAATATGATATTTAAGAACTCAAACTTGGAGTGCCTGGGTGGCTGAGTCAGTTAAGTGTCTGACTCTTGATTTCAACTCAGGTCCTGATCTTAGGGTTGTGAGATCGAGCCCCACTTTGGGCTCTGCACTGGGCATGGAGCCTGCTTAAGATTCTGTCTCTCTCTCCCTCTGCCCCCTTACCACACCACACCCCTGCTCATGTGCTGTCTCAAAAAAAATAATAATTCCCAGCTTAGGATGAACAGGTTATACCTCTCTAGGAATAAGTTCACACTCCATATATATCCTGAATAGTGATTACTGACTTGAACTGAATGGGTACAAAGTGCATGGAGGCTGCAGCATGGAGGGACATGCTCCCTAGGACAGACGTCCTGATAAGGTGTGCACAAGAGCCCATGTGTGCCTCCCTGGCCAGGCTGCTGTCCTCACTCTTGCTGCCTCTGCCACCCTTGTTGCTGGTTTTCTTCTCTCCTGGACAAGGCAGTTATCCGCCAAGAAAGTGGCATCAGAGCTTTCTCTCCAGGTGAAAACATTTGCTTTTTAATCTGTTATTTATTTATACATTCCAGAGATTAAAGTCCCAGTGTGATACTTCTCTTTTTTTAACACATCTCTTCTCTTTTGAGTCAGTCAAGGGGTAAGGAACATGACTTAGCTCTCCTGACATCGCTAGTTCCCATGTGGTGCCAGCTACATGGTGAAGGTGCAGTAAATCCTAAATTACAAAATCACTTTAGAGCAGTGGTGTGTCTTGTTCAGTTTGGTTGTACATTGATTGCTGAACCACACCTGAGGGGGACGCCACCTCCATCATAGTAAGGGACTTAGTTTTAATGGTTCTCAACCAGGTAAAGGAGGTAGGAAGAAGGGTGGCATGCTGCCTGTTTACCTTCCCTGAAAATCTTTGTTTGCTGCTGTTACATTTTCACGATTTGTGTTTGTTTGAGTACCCAAAAGTCTCTAGGCTTCATCAAATTGTTGACAAATAAAATAACATTAATACCAATATCCAAATGTTATCTTCACACTTGCTTGCAGAGAACCCCAGCCATTGCAGAGTACCCCCCACCCCCACCCCGCTCTGAGTCCCAGGTGTCCCAGGAAGTCCTCATGGGTGTCCTGCTTTCCACTGGCATCTGATAGCGACTCCTTCTCCACAAGGCTTCCTGAATGGCCAGTGAGAGTACCTCCATGGCCACAGCAGATGAGAATCCTCATACCAAAGCCAAGAGCACTGTTTGTGAAGTTTCCATATCCACTGACCCTTCAGGTACCAGAGAAGTGCTGGGTTCCATTTCGGTGGGGAGAAGGCTTCTTTCCCATTTCTGTGCAACATGCTATCCCCGGGGCCCTGCAGCAGGCTGCTTGTGTCACAGCCGTACACAGAGCTACAGGGACACAGCTCCCCTGGCCTCTGCCCGTGATCCTCTCTGTCCAGTCCAAGCAGCCCAGAGGATGTTTTTCTATGCCTTCCATCATCTTCTTCACCATTTCAGTACACCAAGAAGTAAACAAGCATTTCTCTCACTTCTACTGGATTTCTAAGATCCCCTAATATATTAATTCAGGCAAATAAGCAGTGACAGGTGACAAGTCCAAATGATCCAACTCTATGTCATCACCTGGACCAAGCTGTGGCATCCTGCCACACTTGGTTTTAACATAAAGGGAAGCCTGTTTATTCATAGGTTTGGCGTAGTGTTCCACTTGATTTGTAATTGTATGCTGTGAACCTGTTTCTATCTTGATTCCCTATGTTATGGCTATGAGGTGACCAATCCAGAAACATGGGTTCTGGTTCCAGTTCCACCTAAAACCATCATGATGGTATGGAAGTGTATGGGTCACCAGTTTGGACCTATTTCCCCATCTATACAATAAAGCAATCAGTCTACACAGTTCCTTTGGTGCTAATAAAACAGACTCTTCTCCTTTGTGTTGGCTTTTAGTGTGAAGGAAGTAGGTGTGTGTTCTCTGTAAAAATAGTTTGCTAATCTATTAGACTGTCCATTGCTCTGGTTCTAAACCTGTGTACTATTCTTTCACATATAGCTGAAGTATACTAGTTTATTAAAAAATTAATATTTTATATTCTGACCCCTTTTACCCATTTCTCCCAGTAGATGAAGGGGGTTAAAAGGTAAAAAAGAAAAAAAGGGAACTGCAAACTGTGGTCCAATGAAGCTTCCTTGTTAACTAGAAGTTTGATCTAAGAATAAATTTTTATTAATAATCAAGACAGAAAATCGTTCCTTACATACCAGTTCTTATAAGATAGGAAAATGCTTCCAATGGTCCTCATACTGTTGATTTTAAATTGCTGCACACTACTGATTTTAGGCAATCGTCCTGGTGTGCAAAAAACTGAAAAACACTAAGAGGCTAACAAAATAAATGGTTGTGTTAGAAAATGCCCAGTGAAATCAGCATACAAGTTGATAACAAAACTTTTCGTTATAGAGTTCTATTCATATCAGTGGGTGATATAATAATTTAGACATTAAATTAAAAATTCTGAGCATGTAGGACAAAATTCTTTCTAAATACAAATCATCATGTATTAACTATAATAAGTGAAATCTGAAATATGAATCCTTCTAAACAGCCTCCGATGCAGTTTGATTATAAACTCTGGGCATGAATTCCTGTGTTTTGTATCTCTAGCACCTATCAGAAGTTTTTTTGCTGTTGTTTTTAAAGATTTATTTATTCGAGAGGGAGAGCACACATGGGCACACATGAGCATGATGGGGAGAGGCAGAAGGAGAGAGACTCTCAATCAGACTCGGCGCCAAGCCCAGAGCCCAACGTGGGGCTCAACCTCACCACCCATAAATCACAACCCCAAGATCACAACTGGAACAGAAACCAAGAATGGGATGCTCAACCAACTGTGTCACCCAGGTGCCCCCAAAAGATTTTTTTAATTAATATTAATTTCCCAGTATAGTGCAGGTCATGTTGAAGGAGTGACATAATATGCCTGATGAGAAACAAACCAACATGAAGTTGATTCCTTTCGGAATGTATTAGCCCTTAGGGGAACAGGATATATCAACTGGCTTCCCATAGCTCCCGACACCAAAGTACAATATAATACAGGCATATAAAACAGGGAGACCAAAATTGTTGACGCTTGTGCACAGGCTCTCTCATATTAACAGTTGTAACATTTTACTTTGGAGTTTTATTTAAACAACCTCAGCATTTTGGATCACAGTTTGGGAGTGCTTAAGGGTTTGAGACTGGGTTTGTTGGTACCCTCTCATACGTCCGAGTACAGGTAACATTGTTCACGGCACTTTCCTAGGAGACAAATGAAGGGATAAGATATTTCAGTGTTGTTGGTGAAACTGACTTTTAGAACAATGGAAACTAAGTACTATCCATACATATTCCTTAAAAATCTTAGAGAGATCTATGTAGATAAATGTAGATACCAACTATTTATTAGCTGACTTTGCCATATGTGTATGGCAAATCATATATATGGTAGATTTGGTTATACATATTTATGGTATATAATGCATATGTGTGTGTATGTATACACACACAAAAACAAAGCAAATAGTATAAAAATTGAAGTCCTTATTAAAACATTTTATTGTCTACAGTGAGGCATTTTTGATAATTATATACTCTACATATTACATCTATGTAGTATTTTGTGGGTTTTAGGGTACCAATATATTTTTTTAAGTAAACTCAGTCTTGGAGAGGATAAATGACTCGTCCAAAGTCATATAAGTGCTGAATGGCAGAGATGGAAGTGAACATTTTGGATTCTGAATCTATATTCTTCCTAATCAATTAAAAATATATTTGTTTGGTAGTTAATGTCACTATTAAGGAGCAGTAAAATCAAGTATCTTTAGTCTTCCACTTATTACTTTATAAAGAAATGTACTCTTCATTATTGAAGGAAAAAAATATCCCTACATTAAGAAATGAGGATAGGGTGAGAGGTTTTTTTGGGGTGTTACTTCTACATAATTCTTACATATTCCCTTAGAGCCATGTGATACTAAAATTGCCATTTTATTCATTTTGATGGAATTAGGGATTTAGGAAGAAGAATCATTGACATATTTCCCTCTACTGTGTAGAAGTGAGGAAGATGACCTGAGAAGTCATCTCATGAGGAGCAGAATGGACTCAAAAATGTATACTTTGAAATTAAGCCAACCTGGCTTTTAATCCCAGTGCTGCCATGTTTTATGAGCTGAATATCCTTAAATTAAGTCAGTGGCTGAATCTCAGTTTTCTCACCTGTTAAGTGGGCTAAGTAGTCTTACCGCACAGGATTATGGTGAGGATTGGGTAAATAAAATATGAAAATGAGCAGACACAGTAGTCATGGAAATTTAGCTTTTAATTGTGTCAACTCATCCATATACCAAGTAGACACCACTTAAGATTTGCATTAATTTAAATTTCCTTTTTATGTGTTTGTTTGGTATTGAGCTGGAAACAGTGAGAAATTAATCCTGTTATGGAGCAATAGATGAACAATAACTCACAATCTTTCTTGCACAAATGCATGCTTGTTTTGGCTTATGTACAAGTCAAAGAATTAGGCAATGGAACTTCTTTATTTTCTTTAGCTTTATAGTTCCTCAACCCATGCACATTTTATAATATTTATTATTATACATTTATCTGCCAATGTTTCCCCCCCATTCTTATAAAGCAAGAGAAAAAAATTACATTTGCTTCCATTATTTTAGAACAAGCTATCTGAATTATTTTATATTTAGGTGTTATAGCAGGTGACCCAAATAATGACAAGCAGCTCACTCACCACCACCATTTTTCCATCCACCAGCTTTCTCCTTATGGTGTTCTCTTTGCCATCCCAATCCTGAACTTGAATCAAAGAGTCATTATCTAAGGTTACCACACTCTGAAAAACAGACAAAATCGAATTCAGCTCAGATTGTCACATTTGGGCATTTTATCAAGCACCAAATTCTTGTCCGCTGTTGTGATACTCTCAGCTTTAGAATGGTGTTTACAGTTTCATTTATGTATTTTTTTTCATTTATATTTTAAGACTTGGTCAGCACTAAGTTTGTTGGCCGATTCTTCTGCAGGGGGAAAAGGTTTTATAAGAGTAAACATATAATGTTATCTTGAAAAATAAGTAAAACTCTCTTTTCCCTGAGAAATTAAGAGGAAGAGATTCCCTGTGCCATTTCCTGTCCCCTCTCCACTGCACACACAGAAACTTCTCCAACCCCACCACAATGCTGAATATGTATACTAAGTTAGAAAGCAGTTCCCTTTGTCAGAAGCCACTGGGGCCTGTGGTTAACTTGGTACTGTGGCATAACCTCACCTATACGGGTTAAGACAAGTTTTATTCATTGTAGCTTTATGCATAGAAAAGTGCTACAAACTAGAAGAGCAGAACTTTTGTTTTTGAGAGAAAAATCTAGAAAAATGATTTTCAAAATGTGTCTGTTGAGCATCTGCATCAGAAATATTAGAAACACAGTTTTCAGGTGCCTACCCCAGACATAAGAGCCTGTGGGAATGGGACCTTTTCACAAGCTTCACAGATGTACATATAGATACATTGGTGTCTATATTAGAATTTAAGGTCCCCAGATTTAGGTTTTAGCCCACAGTTTATCTAATACAGACTTTAGATGAATTTGCTCTAATTGTTTATTTACTTAGGATAATTTTGAATTAACATTCTTATGAAGTGTATCTGAAAGAGTGTTGAAGGCCTCACCTTGGTTTTATGGCCACCTGGTGTGGTTTCCTCAAACTCTTCCCCCAGTTTAAAGGAGATCTTATTATTTTTAAAGATGCTTTTGGTTTTTATAGTGATCCAATCTTCCTGAGTACTGATGGTCACAGTGGGTTTTGCCAGACAGGCAAGTTTCCTGCTGGCTCTTCCTATCCCTGGAAACCAGATAAAACATCATAGTTGAATCTGCTGCTGGCTTTAGAAGCTCATGTTAGCTGTATAATTCTTTATTATCTAGGAGGTTTGTGTAAGCAGATTTAATGCTTCATGAATGCAAATATCTGAAGCTAGTATCACCATCATTATAAATTAAAATAGATTATATTCTACAGGAAAAAAAATAGTCCCTAGTTTGGGCTAGTGGTTGTCGTGTTTCTTTAGTCCAGTAGCTATTGATCTTGTTGGTTCATGAACCTCCTTGAAAATTTGATTACAACGATGAACCATCTCCCTATTTTAAAAAGCACTCATTTATACAGATGAAATAGTTTGGTATGATTATTCAATCTTTATCTCTTCACTTGCATTCTTATATGTACACATATATAGAGTTTGTTTTTTCCATTATGTTTATTTTATTGTGCTAAAATACATATAACATAGAGCCGCCTGGGTAGCACAGTCACTTAAGTGTGGGACTCTTGGTTTGGGCTCAGGTCATGATCTTAGGCCATGGGATCGAACCCCGCACTGGGCTCTATACTCAGTGTAGAGTTTGCTTGAGACTCTCTTCCTCTGCTCACCCTCACACACTCTCTTAAAATAAATAAATCTTTAAAAAAATAAAATACATATAATATAAAAGTTATCATTGTAACCATTTTAAAGTATTTAAGTGGTATTAAGTACATTCACAATATTAAACAACCATCAATACTATATATATATGAGATTTTTAAAAATATATTTTATTATAACAATTATTATTCAACCTTTTCTGATTTTCTGTGTCAATACATATAGATATAAATTTTTGTCATTGCTACATAATAGTTTATAGGATGTGTATATTAATATTTATTTCATTTCTCTCCCTATTGATGGACATGTAGTTTGTTTCCACTTTTTCTTATTATAAATAATACTATTGTGAACATTCTTTTTTTTTATTGTGAACATTCTTATACACCTAGCTTTGTGCAGTACATGTAGGACTATTTTCTATAAAACACTATCACATATACAACAATACTTAAGTTAAATTTCTAAGAGAAGATAAATTAGAGAAACACTTCTAATATGGTTCATGAATTCATAATGTGAAACATGATAACAAGTTGTGATATATTAGATAATAATTCCCAAAGATATTCACACCTTAATCCCTAGAACCTGTGAATGTCATTTTATATGCCAAAGGGGACTTGTAGATTTGGTTAACTCAAGGATCCTAAAATAGGGAGCTAATCAGACATGTGAACCCTAAATGTAATCACAATTTCATTAAACAAAAAGGAAGGGGGATATTAGATTACAGAAGAGGAGAGGGCAATGTGACAATAGAAGCGGAGATTGGCACGTTGTGGCCAGACAACCAAGGAATGCCAGCAGCCACCTAGGCTGGGAAACAAAATCTATTCTGAAGATCCTCTAAAGATTTAGAGCAAATGCTTGCAAAAATGATTATTTATAAAAATATGACTTTTTGCTTGAAATTATTTATGGAAAGCATTTGCATTTAGTATATGATGCACATGTGTTTTGTCTATGCAATCTATGTAAATCCATGATATGTTACATGGGGGTGAGGGTTCTGTCAATTACAAACTAATTTTGCATAGGTACGTACTGAACCAATGTTGATCGTTTCTATGTGATTATGTCTATGTTTCTACTGGAGGGAGGAACAGGTCCAAGATTAACCTGATATCATGCAGACCAAGTTTCTGTGCTATCATTTCTCTCATTTTTACTGGCTATGATATGCAGGTAAAAATGGCTCACCCAGCTCTTTCATATATTCTTCAAAATTTTCACAAGAAATGGATTTCCATTTTCCCTGGAGCTGTTCAACCATTCTGTCTAAATTGATCTTAAAGAAAAATAATATCATTAGGATGAGAATGTTGTTGCTTCCTGAAATAGTGTTAGAACTTGTTTTTAATACAATTCTTGTGAATAGAACAGAAAAGTCAGGGGAGAAAGTTAGGAACTCTAATCCTTGTCATCTTGCCTTAATAATAAAGCAGGAAAGCTCTCTCAAATGTAAGCTGGTCAAGATGAAAATGGAAACAATTTTTGGCAGGACCAGATATAATTTTTCCATCTCTAATTTAGGATCAAAACTAGGTTTATAAATTCTACTTCCTTCCCTAAGAACAGCAACACACACATACACATAGCAACACATAAGAAGTAGAACTAGGCAGCTATGTTTATGCCATAGGACCCCTTTGTCTCTCTTTCTATGACCAGGGTGTTCTAGAATAAGCCAATTTGTCAGCTGTTCAGAGATCTTATCATACTCTCGTTCTTGATAATTTGAACCAAAAATCAGAAAGATTTCATAGATGGTATTTGGCATTTGAACTAAAAAGTTAAATTTAGCGAGGGCTGGAACAATCATTTTAGCCATGTACATATGGAGCAAGAGAATGAAACAGAAAAAAAGGAGAGAGAGTTTGTTCACACACATGCACACACACACACACAGCCTTGTTATTCATGCTTTTCCAGATGTCAGCTCAATTTCTCATAAGCTTACAGAGTTGTCATTGCCATAAGAACACCAGGTATCTTCTAGTAAACCCCCTCAATTTAGGCTAGGTTCTCTTGCTTCCAATCTTGACTGAAATACTCTGATGTCCACTGATATCTGTAAGGAATCAGAACAGATGATAAGGAGTAAAAGAGGAAAGACACCAACTAGAGGATATTTCCAAAGTCAAGAGACAAGCACAGCCTTACACTGCAAACGCCATCAGCTCTGAGAGCATCATTGTTAACCCTAGGCAATGCTTGGTGTCCATATGCTAACACAGAGTTATTAAGAAAAACTGAAATCATAAAATTATTTTGACAGAGAAGAAAAGCCTTTTGTAACAATTCCTATTAAAATGTTAAATCTCCAATATATCTATAAATATCTGTAAAAGCATTTACCCAAGCCAATGATCTCACTGATAATTGAAACTAACGTTTATGGAGCACCTAGTATTATAAGCCTAATATGAGGCTAAGCAATTTTGCATAAACCATTGATTTAATGTCCCAACTATGGTTGAAAAAGATACTGTAGCTTGTTTGTTCTTTCCTGTGTTAGGAAGTTTACCATTATGATTTTTTTCTTACATTAATGTATATAAATTATAGTTATCCCCACTCAATCAAATAGCATGAGGCTGAAGCCAGGAAATGACTCACCACTGAAGGTACTAAAGATATTAAGATTAGGCACTGAAATTACTAAAATTCCTAGGATTTTTTTTTTCAAGAAAATGTCAAATGTGTTGCCTCATGTGTTGGGTGCATACTGATCCTCCAACATGAGGAAATCAACCATTGGAAATCATCTCCTTGAAGAAGTTGTTATATTGGGAGCACAGCATTGGTCTCTATTGCTGGCAGGTTAGACTCAGAGAAGTGTCAGTAACATAGTAGCCAGGCTTGTCCTCTGTCTCTGCTCATGTGGTGTCTCTGTTCATGTGCTCATCACATCAATTCAAAGACCGGCCATGTCCACTTAGTTGCTCACTGCCTATTCAGTGATAGAGGCTTTCTGGTGTCCATTCATCAAAAATCTTCACACATTCCTTGTTGACAAAATTCTGTGTCTTCAATTTTTCAGTCCTTTTCCTTCCAGACCCCTAACCAGCCCATCAGAATATTCTTTCTACCCATGAGAATGTCTTCATTCTCACCTCAAACCACTGCTTCCTCCACACAAAATGAGTAAAGGTTGCCCCACTGTGGTCTTTGTCCATTGGGATGAGTTTTCAAGCCCCCTCCCACCCCGTGTGTGATTAAACTACTGCAACTGGCATCCACACACTAAGCTGACCTGCCCATGAAACATGTTCAAGTCCTTCTTACTCTTTCAACTGGTTACACAAAGTCTAGGAATGGTCAGAGGGAGGGGTACTGGTACACCCAGGGTGTGTAACATGAGGATCGGGTTGCCTGCTCCTGCAGCTACTTCACATCTCCGGGTCTTGCTCTGCTTTGATCCCAGATGCACAACCTGGATCTTATTTTGGAATGCTGGGCTTGACAGAACCCAGCTCACAATGGACAGTTCCAGACACATGGTTACTTGGTGTCTTATACTCTAGAATTCTGTCTCTACTACTCCCCAGTGACACACCAGGAACTCCTTTCAAAACCATATAAGTTTCTGTTGCAGGCAGCACCGTCTTGCTCTGAAACCCGAGAGGTCTGTGTTGTGGTGCTTCCACTGTGGCTTCATCTATATGCCACACTCATATTTCCCCATCACTAATACCTCCAATGGCTTAGGATTTGCCAGGTCATGTGGCCCAAGAGGCAGGGCTGTGCATATGGCAATCTCACTTTCCAGGCCTCATTTGGAGCAAGGAGCTGTGCCTGTCACCCAGTATGTGGGCTGGAGCACATTCCTAGACATGGAATGTATTGCCACCATAAGCCAAAGGATCCTACCAGGATTTTTGTTTTCTTCTCTCTTGTACAAAGGCAAGATGTAGCAATTTGTCTTTTGGAAGAGATGTCCTCACTTGCCCTTGACCCAGCTGGATCCCTTAATACTTTATAACAGTGGAAGTTCACTCACTTGCCACCAAATTAAACTCCCATACTCTGTAGTGCATATGTCTCACCGATGCCTCCAGTACACTAGCCATTCTTGTTCATCCCCCACCCCCATCAGTATGATGTGTGGGATATCCAGACAGCTCAGATCTCATCTGATCCTATTATAACAGCAGGAGGTAATGTAGGCCCCTAACAAACCTGTAAACGTACATGTTCCGCATAAATGCAATTTCTATTCCTTTTTCTGATCTTTTCTGATGAGGATAGAAAGAACACCATAGTATGTGTACTTGAAGCCATATTAATTAGTCTGCTCCAGCAAAGATAACACATCTGGCACAACAGCTGTGATTGGAGTTGTTATTTGAGTTTGCAGTAGCCTATAGTCATTTTCCAAGACTCATTTGGCTTCTGCAATGGTGAGACTGGTAAATTAAATGGAGCTATGATGTGGGCCAACCACCCCCTCAACCCCCACATTCTTTTTTTTTTTAATATTTTATTTATTTATTCATGAGAGACACACAGAGAGAGACAGACACAGGCAGAGACAGAGGCAGAGGGAGAAGCAGGCTCCATTCAGGGAGCCCAATGTGGTATTTCAAAATTCTTCTTCCTGTGGACTTAGCCACTTCTTCAGACAATTGTTTCTGGGTCTGAAAACTGGCTGAGTTCTGGGATCTGGGCAATAGATCAAGACTTCTGTGATGACCACCCTTAATCTGCTCTTCATATATTTTGCCTTCTTTTGGTTGATGTATCAAGCAACACCCTCACTGGCTATTCATCTATTTTTACCTTTAGGGATACAACATTCTCTTAATCCTCTCCACATCTCTCTCCATGTTGAGCCCACTTGGCTGCCCTGCAACTTTGCCTATTGGTATGATAATTATAACCCCCTGGCTTCAGGCAGTAAAGTGCTGCCACCTAGTCCGTTACTTCAGAGTCTCATTATAGCCATTGCTATCAATGAACCAGCTGATATAGAGATAGGTGTAGATGATACATATAGATCGCTATTCTCTTTTTACAGAAAGATATTGTGGCTAGATTGAGCCATAACAGAACTACAGACCTCATAAGTTTCCTGCAGAAAAAGAGGAGAGCCCCACCACATGAGAGTTTCGTATAGTGTTTTGGCATATTGGACTTGTGTTATTTCAACTAAGCAATCTGAAGTTTACTGGAACTGGATAAGGCATAGTGGGCTCTCTGTAGAGACTGGCATACTGGGAAAACCCAGGCCTTACTCATTTGCTATTAAATCAATAAGCTTTGAGTGCCTACTAAATAAAAGACCCCCATGCTAGGCTCTGGCATATAATGAGGAATGAAAGAGACTTCCAAAATATTCCTTACATTATGAAGGAGAATCTGAAATTGTACTAGTTCCCCTAGTATTTCCATATGGATTTATATCTGAATAATAGAAACATGGAGAACTAGTTGATATTTCAGACCAGAGGTCAGCAAACTATGATCTGTGTACCAATTGCAGCCAGCACCTGTAGATAAAGTAGTATTGGAACACAGCCACACTTATTCCTTTGGATATTATCTAAGGCTGTTTTCATGCTACAGTAGCAGAGTTGAGTAGTTCTGACAGATGCCATGTGGCTCACAAAACCTAAAATATTTACTATCAGGCCCTTTGCAGAAAAATGTTTGCTGGCCCCCATTTTAGAGTCTCATGTTCGATTATTTAAAACTCAGGATCATAACAACTACTCTGTTTGTAGGCTTTCTTTGCTTGGGATAGAAAAGTGGTGGATAACATTTTTTCTCCTATAGCTTTTTCATCAAGAAAAGGCATTTTTGGGATCCCTGGGTGGCGCAGCGGTTTAGTGCCTGCCTTTGGCCCAGGGCTTGATCCTGGAGACCCGGGATCGAATCCCACGTCGGGCTCCCTGCATGGAGCCTGCTTCTCCCTCTGCCTGTGCCTCTGCCTCTCTCCCTCTCTCTCTCTGTGACTATCATAAATAAATAAAAATTAAAAAAAAAGAAAAGGCATTTTTATAATTACATCATGGGTAAGGCCAACAGAAAATATAATTTAAGAAGCTAAGCTCTGGCATTTCATATAATTTACATGACAGAGAGATGGCTATCAGTCAAATATAGATGAAATATTTTCAAAAATTGCTCTGAGTGCTGCAAGGCAGAAAGACACAGGAATTAAACTGACTAGGAAAGAAACAGTGTAAAAAAAGCTGTCCTCCAGTCTGCCTCGTCCTGAGTTTAACCTCTGGGGTCTAATGGTCCTGCTAAAGTCCAAAGCTTTCTTCAGAGGTTCAGAGGTAGCTCTGACTCTCCCACCGTTCGGGTCGCCTTAGTGATGTTAAGCTTTCAGGGTTTTCATGCAGCTCTGATGCACTTAGATTAAAACCATGCTAGGAGAAAAAATATCTTTAATAACTTTTTAAAGGAAAATGTATTGGAAATAAGGAAAATCCACTATAAAACTTTAAGTGTGGTGATCAATAGAAAACAATGATAGGGCATTGCTTCTCATATTGGTTGGGCTTTGTAGGGTGTTAATGAGACTTGGGAAGAGTGCAGCCTTCCCCGGTCATCCTTCAGTGGGTGCTAGTTGAGGACAATGGGAAAAGGCTGGCAACCTGGCCATTTCTGAGACTCAGGGTGTTTCTACATCACCCCCTACTGTTCACAGGAGCAGCTGCAGGTGAGCAGCAACCAGGAAGTTGGGACCAGATGGCTGGGTGAGGCATGTGGGTACCCAAGCAAGCAACAGTGTGGCATGTGCTCCATAGCAGTGTTCTTCACACACTTGCTTAATATGTTTTAGTGGGAAGAATAGTGGGTTGAATTGTGTCCCCAAAAAAGATATGTCCAAGACCTAACCCCTGCTACTTGTGAATATGCCCTTGTTTGGTCTTTGCATATGTGATGAAATTAAGGATCTCAAAATGAGATTATTCTGGATTTAGGGTGTGTCCTAAATCCAATGACACATGAGAGAAGGTGAG